TTTTAACATCATCACTGTTGCTCAGAATGGAAACTGTCTTCTTATTTCTGACTTTATGAGTATGATGCTGGTGGCTGACTTGGGGTTTCCTGTGGGGCTAGAATACACAAAAATGTTCTGTGAAATCTTGATGTACTAACTATACCATCCAAACTGGGAACAACTTTGTTGGTAGAAAACATGATTTTATTACAGGTACCCTGTATAAAATCTCAGCCAAGTTACACAGGCCCAGAGGAAAATGATTTGTTTTTGTCACACTGGTAGATTTTCCATTAATGATCAACATTCAATAAATATTTATTAAGTGCCTAATACATGCAAGGGTTTGAGCTGGACACTGGGAATATAGTGGTGAGTCAGACAGCTTCCACCCCAAAGAGTCCCGAGTTAGGAAGGAGGATAAAGAATTAACTAGGCAATTACAATGCAGAGCGAGAAATGTTTCATTAGGACCAATTGCAGGGAGCAGTGAGATCCCATGAGGTCACTCATATGAGTGTTTGGAGGGAGATGCAGGGACAGGACCCTGAGAAAGATTGGCATTTAAGAGATGTTTCAGAAGGTGTTCTTGCAAAGATGGAGACAGGCCAGTCAGGCAGGAGGAGAACCAGGAGATGGTGGTGGCCCAGAAACCAAGGAGGAGTTTACACATGTCTGGTATTTGCTTTTTAACTTTTGGTGTAGATGTGGATGGTTTGTGGAAAATTTAAAAGGGAAAGCATGCTTGGTAAACACTTCTATCCTTTAGCTATTTTTCTCCTACAATTCAAAAATATAATTAATTAATTTATGGCTGCGCTGGGTCTTTGTTGCTTTGTGCAGGCTTCCTCTAGTTGCGGCAATCAGGGGCTACTCTCTATTGCAGTGCTTGGCCTTCTCATTGAGGTGGCTTCTCTTGTTGTGGAACACAAGCTCTAGGGGTGCGGGCCTCAGTAGTTGTCGTGTGCGGGCTCTAGAGCACGTGGGTTTTTTCTAGGATTTAAGAAGTGAGTCCTCTCTGGCTCACAGAACCAGAATTCCGTAAGGCCATAGTTAGACAACCACTGGTCTAAAACAAGGAGGTGTTTACAAGGAGTTGGAAGTTTCTATGGAGTCTAGAAGGAGAGAACCTGGGAGGAAGCACATGTCCTCTTGGTCCAGCAGTAGTTAAGTGGTTGACGGGGATGACAGGTACACGCTTTCCATCTCTCAGGGAGGAGCTCAGTCCAGCTGTCACTCCTGGGCCTTTCTACCAGTTCATGCTGCTTGCCCTGCAAGCCTGTTAGCTGGATTTCTCAGGGATTGCTTAGAAGTCAGCCTCCTGTGAGTCTGGCTAGACAGTGTCAAGTCCTCAGGTGTCAGCAGATCAACTTGAAGGAATCTTTGAGCCTACAAAGGAATCCAGGAGCCTACAAAGCTGACTCAGGCCTTGGCGACCCCACTAGGACACTCGTATAACTGGACAGCAGCCCGTTCCCCGGATATATCATTAGGAGTAGCATATTGAACTGGAGTTTCTGCCTCCCAGCCACTCAGGGACAGGAATCTGGCAGGGAGGATATGATGCTCTTTGTCTTGAATGCTACACAAGGGGGGAAGCTGTAATGAAAATATCGGAGGAGGGTATTAAAGACCCCTGAACTCTCATCTTGAATCTGCCACTGACTTGCCCCTTTCTTTCCTGTTCCCTATGATTTTTCCCGGGGAAACCTTCTGTCCTCAGTACACTTATGGCCAAATCGACACCCCTATGGGTAATGTCTGTCCTGTGGTCCAGAAGGTGACTTCTGTTCTTTGTTGATTGTTACAGTGCAGTTGGGAAGCAGTGAAAAAACTCTGGCTGGGAACTTGGATCTCTGTGGTTAGTTTGGCTGATGTCATAGAGAAGCCCTGGGGTTTGGGGTTGTGGAGGTGGGGAGGGTTCACAAGAACAAGAAGCACACCCCCACCCTTGAAGAATGCACAAGGCGTGATGTGTGACTTGCGTGCAAGAGTGCTTAGCTGTGACTACCACCCACAGCCCCTCAATGTGTGAGGTGGGTGGAGTGGGTGGGGGCTGTGCAGGGGATGGGAGACTGGGAGGCTCGTGCAATCAAACACCAAGATTTAAGATCACTTAGAACCACACAAACAGGGGAAGAATGCCGGGAACTGAGTGGTTTCTCAGGGCGGAGGGCAGGGGGGAGGGCTTTGCAGGGTCCAGTGGGCCTCCGCATGGAACCTCGCTCAGCAGAAGCCCAAGGCCTGACTCCTCTCCATTCTCAGAGCTGAGCACAGGCAGCTTTCCTCTGGCTGCAGTTATCTAATCACTGATGCTTCTCCATCTGATTCAGAAAGTGTTTATCTTGTAGAGCTCCATAATGTTACCACTGGCTTTTGGACCTGGGCACTTATTGAACTTCAACCACTCTTGATTGTTTTTAAAATAAGCTCTGTGAACCGTCTTCTGCTTGCCAAAAGGAGGAAACCTTTGTTTCAAGATGATGGTTTTCTGTATTGTCAGGGACATCAACATCATCATAGTCTTCTTCAGGCTCAATATAGCTTGGGACGGTGATTGTCTTCTTATTTCTAACTTTATGTACCGAAGAGTATGCAGCTGGTGTGGGCCGACTTGGGGTTTCCTGTGGGGCTGGAATACACAAAAAGGTATCAGATGCAAAGCTAGCGTGTGTTTATGTATTTTTGACCAAGTGGTTCTACATGATTTTCATGGGTTTCAGTGATCCTCCCACATATTGGTGGACCAGATCCCCATTTCACAGAGGAAACTGAGGTCCAGCCACGACACAGTCTCAGACTCACCTCAGTGAGTAAGTGACAAACATCAGTCATCTTGACTCCCTTCTTGCTTTGCCTGACTGCACTGCAGTGGGAGCCACAAGACAGACGTTCAGACAAGAAACTGACCAGTGCTGGTGGTGGAATGAGTAGTGCTGCGCCTACAGGTTCTAATTCTCATAAGGAAGCGATACAAACAATATCGCCTTTCAGGCACATCCCTCACAATGACTGAACACTGCATTCCAGAACTATCTATAATTGCTCACGTCCGTCACCCCCCTGCTAAGAAGGAAGTGGTGTCTTCAAAAGGTAGAATTAGCAGAAGACGGGCACATAGCATGTGGACTAAAGTGGGAGGAAAATCTCAGCTCCCCCTTGATGGGCCCTGGAACTGCCTCCCCACAATCACATCTTTTCCTAAGAGAACTTGAATAAGTTCTGCAGTCAGATCCAAACTCATCTTCAGTATTCAGCAGTCACTAGCTATGTGACCATGAGTAACTCGCTTAACTTCTCTGTGCTTCAATGTCTTCCTCTGTCAGAGGGACATAATAATGTACCTGCTGCATATAGTTGCTGAGAAGATTAAAGGAGACAGTACCTATAAAGTGCCTAGCATGGGACCTGACACACAGTGCCTGCTCAATAAATGCTAGCTAATATTACTACTTATCTGTTCAATTAAAATATTTTCATCCACTATCTACTAAGCTCTAGACACTATTTTTAAAAATTTATTTGTTTATTTTAATATTTATTTATTTGGTTGTCCAGGGTCTTAGTTGTGGCATGCAAACTCTTTAGTTGTATGGCACGTGGGATCTAGTTCCCCGACCAGGGATCAAACCCAGGCCCCCTGCACTGGGAGTATGGAGTCTTACCCATGGACCTCCAGGGAAGTCCCTCTAGGCACTGTTCTTAATGGTGGGTAAACAACGGTGAAAAAGACAAGAAAGGTGCCTATTTTCTAGAGTTTGTATTATAATAGACGAGACAGATAATGGACAAATGAAGGATAATTAAATAAGCTCACTTAGGATAATAGCCATAAGCTTCAAAAGGAGAATTAGAAGGATGATTAGGAATGAACTCTCAGAGGTGGTAACATTTGAGCTGACACCCAAAGGGTGAAGTAAAGTCAGCTGTATGTAGAGCTTAAGGAAGAATATTTCAGTCAAGGGAACCAGACAGAGATTTTCTGATACGAAGTGTGAGAAGCCCAGTGTTTCTTTATACCCATGCTGCAAGCTGGAATTTGAATGTGAATTTACACATTGAATATTAGAAGCATTAGTACTTATTTTGTACTTCCACCCCCCCACCTTAAACTTAATTCATCTCCTTGAAACAGGCTGCTGCCACCTGCAAATTCCAGTATAATAGACTGAAAGTTTGTGTCCCCACAAAATCCATATGGTGAAACTCTAACCACCAGTTCAGTTATATTCAGAGATGGGGTCTCCAAATAAGTAATTAAAGTTAAACAAGATCAGAAGGGCAGGGCCCTGATCCGGTAGGATTAGTGCCCTTCTAAGAGACACCAGAGAGCTCTCTCCCCTCCATGTGAGGACCCAGTGAGAAGGCAGCCATCTGCAAACTAGAAGTATTCTCAACAGACACCAGATTGGCCTGGCACCTTGATCTTGGACTTTTAGCCTCCAGAACTGTGAGAAATTTACTGTCATTTAAGCCAGATTGTCTGTGTTACTGTTTTATGGGCAACCCAAGCTGACTGCTTCCCAAGTGGCTTAGTGGTAAAGAATCTGCCTGCTAATGCAAGAGGCACAGGAGAGGTGGGTTCGATCCCTGGGTCAGGAAGATCCCCTGGAGGAGGAAATGGCAATCCACTCCAGTATTCTTGCTTGGAGAATCCCATGGACAGAGGAGCCTAGTGGGCTACAGTCTGTGGGGTTGCAAAGAGTTGGACACAACTGAGTGACTGAGCACAAGCTGACTAAGATGCCAAGACAATTTTATTATTCTACCCTGAATGAGACTGTTATCAGCAAAATATACTCACAGGCAACTTCTGGGGAGAGCATATCCCTGGGTGGCAGAGGGGGTAATTGAACTGAGAATTGTTCCGTAACATTCCTGGAAGAGAGAAAGAATAGGAGTCAGTGTTTGGTTTTGATCATGCCTGCCATTTAAGAGAAAATGTCAAGGGAAATGGACAGAGTTGAACATTCAAATCTTGGTCCCTAAAGACTGAAAGCATCTCTTTTCTTTTCTAGGTCTTGCATCCCATCCGTAACTGACATTCTAAAGAAACCATTTCTTTAGCCCAGCGACCATTTGGATTTGAGGGCGTGGAGCAGAAGCATTCTAACTTAGACCACAGAGCTCATCTTCCTGTGTTTACCTCAGCTGGATCAAGAGGGGAAGGTAAGCACCAGGTGTATTTTGATGTGCAAAATGGATGTGCAAAACTCCCAGGTGGCTCAGTGATAAAGAATCACAGGTTCGACCCCTGATCCAGGAAGTCAACATACTGTGGAGCAACCAAGCCCGTGAGCCACAACTACTGAGCCTGTGCTCTGGAGCCTGGGGAGCCACAACTATGCAACCTGTATGCTGCAGCTATTAAAGCTCTAGAGCCTGTGCTCTGCAACAAGAGAAGCCACAGCAACGAGAAGCCCTCACACCTCAATGAAGAGTAGCCCCCGCTCACTGCAACTAGAAAAAAGCCCCTGAAGCAATGAGGACCCAGCACAACCAAACAAACAAAAAACAGGTGTACTCCTAATGCTAAGCATACACCGACCATGTGACGGCAACATTGGGTCTATAGCCTGCTGATCAAAAGATATGTTACTAGAATGTTTATAACAGCACTGTTCGTAACAGTGGCAAACTGGCTGCTACCCAAATGCCCGTAAGTAGCAGAGTGGATAAGTTTCGTCATGGTTCAGTTCCACAGTGGAACACTCTATGGTAATAAGAATGAACGGTCTACAACTACACACAATGAATCTCACAAAAAAATGCTGAGAGGAAGAGGTTAAACAGTGAATAACACATACTATATAATTCCATGTATATGAAGTATAAAGACAAGGAAAAATGAGCCTATGCTATTTCAAACAGTGATTATCCTTAGGGTTTAAAGGCTGAAAGGGCATCTATGGGATTGAGATGCTGGTAATTTTGTTTCTTGATCTGGGTGCCAGCTACTGGGTCTGTTTAGTTTGTGGAAATTCATTGCATTGTACTCTTACCATATGCATTTTTCTGTATTTATTTTATACTTTGGTAAGAAGTTTCAGGGGCTTCCCAGGTGACTCAGTGGTAAAGAATCTGCCAGTCAAGCAGGAGATGTGGGTTGGATCCCTGGGTCAGGAAGATCCCCTGGAGAAGGAATGGCAACCCACTCCAGTATTCTTGCCTGGAAAAATCCCACGGGCAGCGGAGCCTGGTGGGCTACAGTCCACAGGGTCGCAAAGAGCTGGCCATGACTAAGTGACTGAGCATGCACACGCCGGCTCTGTAGCACAGGCACAAGAATGGAAGTGGGCAGGCGGTTCTCCAAATTAAAAAGCAGGATTCCCCCCACTTACTCATACATCATTTCTTCATCTCTCTGCTTTTGTTTCAAGGACTTGGAAATTTCCAGTTTCTTGCCTAAGGAAAAAAAACAAGCATATTCATTTAGGAAGAATTGTCCAAAATTGTGATCTTTAGCGTTTAGAAGAGATCAGAGAATGGGCAGGTTCAGGATAGTCAGAAGAAGAACCATCCAGACAAAACAGACTTAGGGGCACAGAGCTCATAAGTGATAGAGTCAGAATGTCATCCAGACTGTCGGACCTCAGAGTCTGGGACTAATCCACTGTGGGTTGTGGCTGCTCCCTCATTGCCTGGTACCGTGTTTACCTAGCATATAGTTGTCACTTGGAAATACTAGTTGAGTGAATAGTCAAAAGCATTAATGGGAGAAAATGAGATGAAGAATGGGAACAGCAGTTTGTAAACTGATATGCTGGACATGTAAGTTATTATTAATTATAACCTACTTGTCAATAGGAGTGGGTCAAGATAAAAGAGGATAAGTATAAGTTTTTGTTCAGGGTCATATTTTGTCCATATCTAAAAGCAAAATGTTTTGGGACTTCCCTGGTGGTCCAGTGGTTAAGAATCTGTCTTCCAATACAGGGGACATGGTTTGATCTCTGGTCAGGGAACTAAGATCTCACATGCTTCGAGGCAACTAAACTGGCACACCACAGCTAGCAAAAGCTTGTGCACCGCACCCAAGAGCCTGTGCAACCAAAATTAAAACAAATCAAAATTTAAAAAATGAAATATTTAAAAAAGGCAAGTGGATAGAGGACTATGGTGGCTAGAATATACTTTCTGTATTTAAAAAACCTAATTACCATCAGAGGGTGGAGGGGAAAGGACTTTGAATGGCGAGCCCAGTGTACCCGATTTCTGGTTCCAACTCTGCCACCAAGTCCTAGGAGACCCGAACCAAGGATTTGCCTCTCTTTGAACCTTGCTTTCTTATCTCTAAAGAGAGATTGAAAAGAATGACAGAAGCTTTCATTCCTGAGCAGCCCTGACCTTCCAGCACTGGTTCAGCAGGACCCTGAGGCCATGTCCAGATGCATCAGGAGGACAGGACCCTGATCATGGAGGGATGCCCCCTAGGTGCCCCAGGGCAAGACAGCCATACCTCTCAGAACATTTACCATCCCCAGGTATACTCCAGGCCTAGGTCATTAGGTAAGGGGTAGGATCTTAAGAAAACTCTCTATTGAACCAAAATTTCATGTTTTTGGAGATGAGTATTAAAGTAGAAACTCACTTGTAGATAGTCTAAATTTACATTAATCCTCCAAGAAGCTGCTTATTTATGTCCAAGTGTGCTAAGAACCTCTATCCAAGGCACATGTAATACCCCCAAATTCAGAGTATGATCTTAGAATAGGCAGTCATGGTGGTCAACCATGAAATAAGTCCATTTTTCATGCCTGAAGACTTTTTTTTTATACCACGCTTCAAAATGTGAAGGTACACTATGGGGTAAGGTGAGAGATGGAAAACTCAAATTAAGACTTTTTTACAGATAGCTCAAAAACACTCAGTTTTTAATTTTTTTTTTTTTTTTTTTTGGCATCTTGCATGTCATGTGGGATCTCAGTTTCCCAACCAGGAATCAAACCCATGCTCCCTGCTTTGGAAGTGTGGAGTCTTAACCATTAGACAGCCAGAGGTGTTCTAAAATATTTTTAAAAATTACTTTGTGGAGAATGATTGCCATACAAAATGTTATACGTATTTCATGTATACAACTCAATGCATTTGGAATCAAGACAGTTTTTGACATTCCATGCACTTGTACTCTCAAGTTCCAGAGGTAAGGTGCTGTGATCAGCAGCCACATTGGAGAGAGACAGCACTAGAGAACAGCGTGCCTTGAAACTGATTCTGCTTTTACCCAAACCATGAGGGCTGGAAGAGTTCTTGGAGATTAAGTAACCTCCCTCCCTTCACTGCGCAGAGGGAGAAATTGAGGCCCAGAGACACATATTAGTAGCAGAGCTAGGACTCAGACCCAGAGTGCATGATGCTAAATCCAGAGTCCAGCCCATGCAAGCCCAGAACTAATCTTTATGCCCTAAAGAAGCCCCAGTGCCCTGACAACCACCTCTTCCCTCCCCTCCCTCCATCTGCCCAAGGGGGAGGGTCATTACCTTGTCTAAACAGACACCTACAGACACAGAACAGGATGGTGCCCAGGCTCACAGACGTAAAGATGATGGCCACAGCCAAGATGATCCAGAAATTGTCCTTCCACCAATCCATGGCCTTGGGATCCTGAGAAGAATGGAGAGAGAGGATAAGACATGAGTGAAGGGCTTCTTGGGGGGTGGAGGCAGTTATCTACCACGTTGTGCAGCTACATCTGCTTAGGGACCAGGCAGGCGTTTGTTCACAATCAAACCCTGCTGATTTGCAGCTGGGAGACCTCAGGCAAGTGATTAACTTTCTCCAAGCCTCAGTGTCCTCACCTGCAATATGCAAGTGAAGCTGTCTACTATCTTACAGGGAATGTACGAAAATTAGAGGTAAGACATGTACTTATCAGTTACTCTAGAAACTGTAGACATAATCACTGCTTTTCTTTACACTGTCAAACATGCAGCAGGAAGGGGAAATGCCATTTAAAGCAGTAACTGACAGCAGTTATTTTTATGTCAAAGGGACTAGACTCAATTCATAACAGGGCAGATAGAATTTTGAGAGCTATTTTTGGGGTGTGGGGGAGTGCTTCCCTGGTGGCTTAGATGTAAAGAATCTGCCTATAATGTAGACCTGGGTTCAATTCCAGGGTTGGGACGATCCTCTGGAGAAGGGACCGGCAACCCACTCCAGTATTCTTGCCTGGAGAATTCCATAGATAGAAGAGCCTGGCAGGCTATAGACCATGGGGTTGCAAAGACTCAGATACAGCTAAGCGACTAACATTTTCACTGGTTTTTTGAGGTGGAGGTTAGAAAAATACCTTGCTGGATCTCTTTGAGTGAGGCATGATTAGAGGGAGAAAGATGCAAAGCAAACTGAATTAGTCTGGATGAGAAAAGGTTTGTTTCCATGATAGGTTATTATAAGATGTTCTCTGTGCTATACAGTAAATCATTTATATATATATATATATATATATATATACACACACACACATACAGTAAATACTTTGTATATAGTAGCATGTATCTGTTAATCCGATACTCCTAGTTTATCCCTCTCTTCCTTCCCCTTTGGTAGTTATAAGTTTGTTTTCTAGTTCTGTGAGTTTGTTTCTGTTTTGTAAACAAGTTCATTTGTATTATTTTTTAAAATTCCACATCTAAGTGATGTCATATGGTATTTGTCTTTCTATGTCTGACTTATTTCACTTCGTGTGTTCTTCTCTAAGTCCATCTGTGTTGCTGTAAGTGGTAATATTTCATTCTTTGTGGTCGAGTAATATTCCAGTGTATATATGTGTGTGTGAATATATATGCATACCTCCACATGTTCTTCATCCATCTATCTGTTGATGGCCACTCAGTCTCTTTTCTCTTACTTAAATGTCTCCTAGTTCTTAGTCTAACTTCCCCCTCATATTTTCTATCTCTTTGACTTTTTCTTTTACTCCTGACGGATTTCTCCAAGGAGAAACATAAACATACTCTTTAGAGCTATAGAGACACACCCCAGGCAGAGTTAAAAGCTGTTGCATCTGAAGAGCATGACTGGGTGTTGGGAGGGAAGCAAGAGGCCTGGCAGCTGTGACTGTTCTCTGTAAACCCTCCGAATTCTTTGCTTTTTTATCTTTTTTAACTTTTGCATTTACTTTTATAACACTGATAAGAGTCAATCAACCATTTAGTGTAGCTTCCTTTTGTTCAGATTTCAAGTTCAAAGAAATTTTATTCTCATCAGATTCTTGGGAAAGAAAGAGGAAATAGGATGATGCCAGAAAGTGAAACTATGGGTCATTTTTCAGAACTATGTGAAGTGGTAAATATTCTGCAGTTCACACAAATAGAATGGCGTTGATTGCCCATCAGATCAAGTTTAGTGCACCAAGAGCTTTCTCATCACTCACCTTATTTCACCCTCACCACCACACCCTTTTCTAGACAGGGCCTGAGACAGAGGTGTAGTGACCTCCCTCAGGTCACCCAGGTAGGAGGGAGGACGGAACGCTTCCTCTCTGTGTCTCAGGGCCTTCCAGTGTCAGGATGCCTCAGAATCATCAAGGAGAGGCCAGATGGAGGTCAGGATATCTCACTTTACCTCAAAAGGAACTTTGCTGTGGTAGTCATATGGTGCTGTGGGCGCCCAAGGCATTCCCCAGAATGAATGATCAGGGCTTGAGAATGAAAGTACCAAGTTCCCCATAACCTAAGATCAGAGAAATAGCTCTTCCCCCATGAACTGCCGACAGGTGCCTTTTCAACGGAACCAAGATGAGCAGGTCTTTTTGGGAGCGTGCAGCTAAGGAAGGGGGCTATTAATAACCACATCCCAGTGGGTGCCCCCCCACCCCGAGAGAGGGGACAGGAGCCCTGGGGAGAGACGGCAGGGAGTAGAGCGGTGGGCAGTGCGTCACGGCTGTGCAGTCCAGCTCAGGCTCTGGAAAGTATGGAAACTGAATCCCACTTGTGTTGTCAGGCCTGGAGTAGATAAGGTCATGGGGCGCAGGCTTCCTGAGAGCTACTGAAGCATCAGGTAAAGAGGTGTTTACATGAGAGGAGGCTGGCAGCCAGCCCAAAGGTACAGCCAAGTCTCTCAAGGGACCCCAAGGGACTCCAAGGGCCAGGAGTGAGTCTCCACCCAACACCACCGACTCGATCAGCAGCAGTGACCCAGCGAGGGGAGACTTCCTGTGAATTGTCTGTCCCTGTCTTTCCTCCTCAATCCCATACCAGGGGGGATAAGGGCAGGGAAGGGTGCTCAGGGAGCTGAGGCAGCCTTCACCCCTCACCCCGCTCTCTACTCCCTTCGCTGGGCAAAGCGGGGAGCTTTGAGTCAAAGATGAGACGGAAGTTTTTAAATGAGTGTGACTAAATTTTTAAAACGGAAATGAGTCTGCTTAGTAATCAAAAAAGTAATACAAGTTTTGGGGTTGGACCGAAATGTCACTGGGGGAGGCCTCTCCCTGTTGGAACAAGGCAGGAACCCAGGCAGTAGCGGCGTTAGAAACAAACTGCATCTGTTCACTGTGGCCGCTCCAACAAATCACCGTGGATGCCATGTCTAAAAACAACACAGAAATGTCATCCAGCCGAGTTTCTGAATAACACAACAGCCAGCATGTTGCCCTTGGGCAGGGCTGGCCCCTTCCAAAGGCCCCACTGGAGAAGCCACTTCCTTGCTCCTTTCAGCTTCTGGAGGTTGCTTGTGTTCCTTGGCTCACAGCCCCCTCCTCCATCTCCTTGCATCTCTCTGACAGTCCTTCCCCAGTCACATCTCACCTCCTCTTGTGCCTCCCTCTCCCACTTATAAGGACTCTTGTGATTACAATGGGCTTCCCTGGTGGCACAACGGTAAAGAACCTGCCTGCCAATCCGGGAGACGTGGGTTTGAACCCAGGGTCGGGAAGATCCCCTGGAGGAGGAAATGGCAACTTGCTCAAGTATTCTTGCCTGGAAAATCCTATGGACAGAGGAGCCTGCCGGGCTACAGTCTGAGGGGCACAAAGAGGTGGACATGACCCAGCACGCATGCACATATGCACGCTGTGGTTACATCGGGCTCACCCGGATAATCCAGGTTCATCACCACGTCTCCAGGTCAGCTGATTTACAACCTCAGTTCCGCTTGTGACCACAGTTCTTCCTTGCCTTGTAATCTGACATAACCACAGGTTCCAGGGGTTGGGATGTGGACATCTCGGGGTGGGTGAGACCACCACGCAAACTACCTCATGCTCATACTGCAGGAAGATGAGACTCTAGTGAAAGTGGTCTCATGGGTTTGTACGTTATAAAAAAAAATTTTTTTTAATCGGGTTTTTTTTTTTTTGCCTTCTATTGATGTCTCTGGAATGAAAGGGGAAAAAGTCAGCAATGATCCTGCCATCTCTGACCAGAAGTCCGCCACAGAGTGCTCAATGTTGCTGGCCCAGGGAAGCAGCAAGGACCCACCACAAGGCTGGGGCAGACGTGGGTCTCTGTGTCTGGGAGGGGACTGCCACATGCGAGGGGACATTTTTGTTCTCAAGAGTCTGAGGTCATTGGAAGTTTCTCAAGGCTGGACTTGGACTCAGAGATAAGAGAGGGCCTTGTGAGCCAGAGTGGGGGCTCATGGTGCAGTATGGACCACAGGAGGGAAGGATTCATTGTGGCCCCAAAGCTGATCCAAAGCTGAGCCATAGGTCAGCAGGTCCTGGGCCCGGGGAGGGTGAGGTGCTGAGTCTACAGATACAGGTCAGGGGTCTGGGCTGCCGGGAGGAGGGCAGGGCCTGACCTCAGTTCCCGTCAATGCTCCCCGCGGAGCATTTGGTGGACACCACAAATGGAAGAAAAAAGAGTCAGAAGAACAAGGGAGCTGCCTTTAATCATTAGCTATTGAGGACCTTGGTATGTCAGACCCCAGGGCAAGAACTTGAGGAAGAGTGGAAATTCCCAACCTGGGGCCTCACCATTGGGACTTTGTTTTAGTAAAGTTCTCCAGATGATGCTAGTGGGAGGCCAATGTTGAGAACCAGTGACATACATGTTATCACTTAATCCTTATAACCTGGTGTTGGGAGGTGTTATTATTACGCCCATTCTACAGATAAAAAGAGAGAACTCAGAGGGTTTAGGCAATTTGTTAAAGGCAGCATGGCTAATAGCTGACTAGTCTAAGATTGCAGCAAAGCCTGGTCTGATGCCAAAGTTCATGCTGTTTTTACTCTGTCAGATTTACACCAAGTTGATAAATACTTCTTGTCATAACAGAACTGAAAGCAGAACCCTCAGTCAAGAAATTCCAATATTGGCAAGACCTCCACCTTGAGTTGTGACTTGTTCCAAATAAAAAGAACCTCAATATGAAAATGCATCTTAGAAAAGTAACATACATTATATGCTACCTTACCATGAGTTCAACTGCACTGTACGGCAGGTCATAATCATAACCCCCTTTTAGAGAAAAGAGAACAGAAGTTTAGATGAGCTCAATGAACTTGCCCAAGGTCATAAGTGGAAAAAATCAGAAGCTAAGCCCAGGACCCTTAATTGTGACCACCAAGCCAGAGCTTTGGGAAATGCACTAAAATACAGATAGATACCACAGTCTGTGTCCCGACTCTACTCGCAATTCTGATGTGTAACTCTGGTGTGGGACTTGGGGCTCAGCATTGTTAACACGTACTCCAGTGGGTTCTCAGGCCTCGGGGAGGAACACTACATCCAGCCAGCCTGCAGAGCCCCGAGCTGTGAAGGTGAGGAGGCTGGAGGCTTGTTCTTTGCAACATTCACAGGCGGTAGAAGCAGCACTAAAAGAAGAAGGCGGCACTAAAGCAAACCCCTTGAGCCCAAAGACCTCTCCTGTTTGCTTGTCACAGGGCTGATGGAGCTCCATCGTCAACAAGTCACTCTCTTCAGAGCAAAGTTCTATGCTCCCTCCTCTCCCTACTTCCCCTCCATTTATACCCATTTGCCTGACACTGGCATTGATACCCTCAGTGCCAGACACTGAGGAAGAGGAACTGATTTTCACTAGGGTGTGAGTGACTCCATGGAGCCTCAGGATTCCTTCCCCAGGGCGCTGGCAGGAGCAGGGGCATCCTAGAACCTTATCCAAAGTCCTTAGAGGATAGTCATAGGCATCGGAGTGAAGTTCCTGCAGGGCTAAGGTGACCTGGGAAGACCTGCTGTCTGCCCATGGTCCTCCCTGCTTGTCCTCCCCTCCCAGCTTCACAGACGCTCCTCGCCCCGGAGCTCAGTGTCCTGCACTCTACCAACCTGCTTCTTCTCAATCACCCTGTCCTCAGACAGACTTTGCATCTCAGTCACTCCTCTGATAACAGCTTAAAGAGAGTGCCAGTCAGCTTGATGAAAGCCCAGAAGGCAAGGGAAGCCTGAATTTCAAGAAGGGGGAATAGTGAGATCGAGGAAAAATTGTTTAAAATACAGGGAGTCAGTGTGTTTATAAACTGTGAAAGTGTCAGGAAAAAGGACAAAATGAAATGTAGGCAGAGAAAAGAGAGCAAAAGCTACCTTCAGGGGCTCAGATGGAAGAATCAGCTTTTAAAAGGGAGCAAGGATGGAGGGAGGGCTGTGCTGTTCAACAAAACCAGACTGGGATGAGAGGGCAGGAAGCTGGCCAGAAAGCTCCTGTTCTGAGTTAGGAAGAGTCGACGGGCAAGGTGCTGGGGGCGGCAGGGTGAGAGGCAGACAGCCCTGCCTCCCACTCTGCAACATGCTATGATCAATATTCAAAATGCATCTTTTTTTCTCCAACTGAACCTGCCTACACTTACTGTGACAGCTGTCTGATGGTTTATTTGCTGTTCATCATCTCCCGCACTGGCTGTAAGCTCTTGGAGAGCAAGAATCTTGCTGCTCCCTCTACCACTCTTTCTAAATGTCCAGAATGTCACCTGGAATGCAGTGGGAGTGCCATACACATCTGTGAATAAATGAATGAATGACTGACAGCCCCACCTCCTTCCCTCTTTCCTTGTCGTGGGCAGGCTTCCCCTCTAATGATGCAGTAGGCAGTTTGGATCCAGAGTCTGAAATTCAAGTGCTGGCATTCTAGTTCTAAAGCACCTCACCTGGACACAAGAGCTTGGGCAGGCTCCCCGCTCTCCCCCTGCCTTTGGTCGTGGACTTCAAGCGGCTGGCTGGGAAGCAGAAGCCAGGCAGACAGGTGTGGAGGGTGGAGTGGCAGCTTCTCTCTCTTGGCCGCTCCGTTCTGTCCTCGGTAGCCTGAGGCACTCAGTTCTGAATAGGGTCAGGGTGGGAGAGCCACTAAAAGCAACTACCAGCCCAGCCCTGACTCTCACTTCCCCAAAATGCGTTTCCGGGGAGTCAGTGGCAGAAAACACATTCACTCTCCATTACCAGGAATTCTGGAGACTGTGGCTTTATTCAAGAATTTGCTTTTTTTTTTTTCTTTAACCAAATTCCTCAGAGTTAGATGTACAATTTACAATGTGACAGCTACACATATATTGACATAAATAAAACGTTTCACAAAGTGTCTTCAGGACAAGGGGTGCACTCCAACTCACAGTTTCTCATCTACGCTAGCCTATTTCATAAGAAGTCCTGAGTGTCAGCCTCTCAATTTAGTTCAAAGTGTATTAATGGTCATGCCCTGTGTATTGAAAGACTTGAGTTTTTCTCATGAAAAATAAGTGACCTAAAATAGCCATGAGTCCCAAGAGGTGTGGTTGGAATGCGTGTGTTGGTGGGGTGAATAAGAGTTTCAGAAAGTTAGAGTCAGAAAAAGGCTTTGTGGGAAGAGGTGGACTTGCAAATAGCTTAGCAGGAAGTTGGGGAGATGTGAATATGAGTCCAGTTCCTTACTCTCTGCCTTTATGGACACAAATCCCTCTCCCAGAGGCCTGCCCTGTCCAAGACCGCAGCCACTGGCCCCGTGGGGCTCTTCCACTGAGCACTGGCTAGATGGCTAGTTGAGTATGTGCTGCAAGTGCGAAAAACAAGCTGGATTTCAAAGACTTGGTACAGAAAGAACATAACAGATCTCATTAATAAATGTTTATCTCGGTTACATGTTGAAATGATAGTATTTTGGATAGAGTGGGTTAAGTAAAACGCATTAATAAAATTAATTTCAGCTTCCCACCCCTTTTTAATTTACTCCCACCCAAACTGTAACACTGTTTCACCCCTGGGTTTGTGCAGTGTGGAACAGAGCCTCACCCTCAGGGGCTCAGAGCAGGGCTGGCCTCCTGCAGAACCCACAGAAATTTGAGCAACAGCTTTGCACTTTGCAGGGTGTGGAATGAGGGTCCGAGCTGCTCTCCGCCTGGATCTCAAGTGTCTGAGAGACTCCAGATAATACTGAGGCAACACCTGCCAGCCAGCATGAGCTGTGCTTGCCCGAATTCATCTCTAGTTCCCAGACGGTCACTGCTCAGGCTTAGTGAGGCCAAGTTCCCACTGGACCCTGCCCTGCTGTTGTCAGCACTAGAAATGGCTGTCTGGATAATTGATGGCCACCTGAAATCCAAGTGTGGGATTTCCCTGGAGGTCCAGAGGTTAAGACTCCGTGCTTCCAAAGTAGGGGGCGTGGGTTCAACCCCTGGTCAGGGAACTAAGATCCCATATGCTGTAATGGTGCAGCCAAAATAAATTAAAAAAGTAAAACTCAAGCATGCCTGGGGAAGGGTGGGAGCAGAGTATTAAAAGGAGTTCAGTTTCTCTTGTCCCTCTCTCTGTCCTTCCACTTCTGTGAAAGGTTAAATATAAGTCCTAGAGAGCTAAAGAGGAGAGATCAAGCCAAACATATCCTTTTTCACATGTACTTCCCTCAGTGTTACAGCTTATCACACCAACTCTCAGATTAATCTTGTCTGATTTATTTCATACAGGGCTTGACTCTTCATATACACTCACCCATCATAGTTTATTGCCCCTGTGGCCACAGTTAGGAACTGCATCTACTTGCTAGCAAAAATGAAAGATAACCATAAAATTCTATCATGGCAAAGTTGTGGTGAAACGGACCTTCCCACAGGGCCAGTGATAGTACACATTAATTTTAAATAAAATTTTGGAAAGAAAATAGTACATTTAAAAAACGATCACACCCTTTAGTTCTACAATATCATTTCTCGAAATATAGCCTGAGAAATAATCTGAACAAAGTAAAACCCTAAGAGGACAACCATGTGCACCTTCGTAGAGATGAACAGGGAGCGGCCCAGTAGTCAAATGGGGGTCTCTTGGGGAAGAAAATTACACAAGCGCCACTTGATAGGATGTGTGTGTTAGCCAGTCATGTCCGGCCCTTTGTGACCCCATGGACTGGGGCCTGCCAGGCTTCTCTGTCCATGGGATTTTTCCAGGCAAGAAGACTGGAGACTTGATAGGATAGGATGCAGTAATTAAGGAATCATTAGGAAGAAAGCATCACGAACTATTGAGAAACCACATAAAATGAAAGGAACAGAATACTGACTTATATCTAGACTATAGCCACATCTTATAACATTACTTGAAGATGTGGTAGGAGAATGGATGGGAGAAAGCACAGAAAAGTGAATTTAGATTGTTCAGTGCGTGAGAGTAGTATCCTTCTTTCTTTCCCTCCCACCCAAAAGCAAACACATTTTCAAAAATTTAGGCATCATGTTTTACAAGAACTTCTGCTCCCTGCTCTCAAATAGGTCAATTTTCTAGTATCTTCGAGAAGTTTGGGGTGATGGGTTAGCAGAGCCTTCCAGGGCTGCAGGTCATTCAGGATTCTTAGTGAGTTTACCCCAGGATTTCTACAACCCATGAGTCCTTCCTTGGGTCCAACCAAGTTTCTACTTGCCTTTGCTTGTAAGTAAGTGTTAGTCACTCAGTCGCATCTAACTGTTCAGGACCCCATGGACTGTAGCCTGCCAAGCTCCTCTGTCCATGGAATTCTCCAGGCAAGAATACTGGAGTGGGTTGCCATTCCCTTCTCCAGGGGATCTTTCTGACCCAGGGATCAAACCCAGGTCGCCTGCACTGCCCGTAGATTCTTTACCTTCTTAGCCACCAGGGAAGCCCCTTGCTGTTGCTTACTTTTCCCCATTCGTTTGGCTCTGAGAATGTAAGGGAGACTTGAACCTCTCACCCAGGGGTTCTCTGGCAGCAGTGCCAGCCTCATGTTGAGTAGATGGAAGAGTTCAGGGATGCTGGTGCCCTGAAGACAGCAGTGACATCTGTATTTCTATGTGTAGATGTACTTACATCAAAATAAAACATAGGTAACTTTCCAAAACAGCTACGCCTAAGAAAAAATGACTGGAAGGCAAGGCAGCATCACCTTTACGTGATTGTTGTGAGGTGGTGGGATCAAGGGTCATTGTTTCCCCTATTGCTTTGCAGTTTTCTAATTTTCAGAAAGAGAAAAAGAAAGAGGTGCTAAAAAAATTATTAAAAAGAAGCTCCCAGCCCTTGTCTTCTGCAGGCTCAACAATCCCCACTTCTGATGCTTCCCCAGAGGTCCACACATGCAGAGGGACCAGGAAAGGGAGTGACAGGAGGGACAACTGATGCATGAGAAGGTGGAAGTGAAAACGACAAAGCCGAACCCAGGCCCCCACTGCAGTAATTTTTTCCAGAGGGCGAGAGTAGATGGCTCAATGGAGGTCTTGACCCTGAGGCCTCTAAAAGAGAGGTCCTCTAAAAGAGAAGTCCCTGAATGCTAGAGATACAGTGACAAAGACACCAGGACTGTTGGTGCTCGTCCCAGGGCTTTGGGGGGGCCCCAAGTTCACAGAGTCAGTGCCTCGATCTCCACCCCCCCTCCAGCACAGACCCACTGAGGGTCCTCACGCGGGTCAGGTACTCAAACTCACCATCAGAATCCAGAGAATGACTACAACCTCCACAGTACACAACGTCTCACTCCCAGGCATTACATCAATCCAGCCTGAGAAGCAGGCCTCTTCATGACCCCACCACACACACGAAGAGGCCCCAGGAGCTGGAGATGACCTTGAGGTCATCCAGTCAGACACCAGCAGGGTGGTTTCTTCAAGGCCAGTTTTTCTCCAGCCCCACCAGTGGTCCCCAGGCCGCAGGCTACAATCCCCCGGCCCAGTCCTGACAATCACCTGCCTTGACAGGGCCCAGGTGCTTACCTGAGTTGCAGGAGGTCCAGATGTGAGCGGCTGAGGGGCCATCAGTGCTCTGAAGGCCGTGGCTCAGCACAGCTGGGGAGAGGCAGTCCCTCGCCCACAGGCCTTCCACCCAGCCCAAGCTGTGAATGCCAGCCTGACCACACTTCCCCTTTATGCTCAGCCCACCAGGGAGAGGTCCAGACATCATCACCTGGCAACCAATTCCTCTTCTAGCAGTCAGATTCTTCTTGCTGCTCCTGTGTTCCTGCAAGGCCCACCAGTGGACCATCCTGTGGTGGAGAGGTCAGGCCCCAGGGTTGGGGGGGGTTTCCCCACAGACGAGCCTGCCCTGAGCACCCTGGAACTCCAGAAAAGCTAGGGGAATCTGACAATCCCCCAGACTCAGAGACAGACGTGGGTTAGAAACCAGTTCACATGTATTAATATAAAGGCTGTCCCCCAAGGAAGACAGCTCTCAGAAGCCCCCGGGGGGCCCTGGTACCCTGACCCAGCTTTTGCTCCTGTTTCTGAGGGTGTGTGACACTGCATCAAGAAGTGGGTCCAGCTGACCACTGGACTGAATCATCTTCCCCACAACACCACTACCTCCGAGATGGGGGCCATGGGTGGGGAAGCCAGCCAACCATTCTGTGGAATTGACTGTTCTGACTGGGTGGTCATGTCAGTAAAAATAGCCAAACTGGTATGCATTGTGTCTGCCTGGGGTGAAAAAGTTCTGATTACTTTCAACCATAATGACAATACCCTGGGATGTCTGGTAAATGTTTAACAACAGGAGAGACAAAAAGATCCCTGAAATTTGTAGTGTTTGCTTATTTCCATGACATAAATATCCTCACTGG